AATTCGTCAACTATCGGCCTGTTTCCAATCTCCCCTTCTTGGGCAAAGTCCTGGAACGTGTGGTGGCCTCACAACTCCAGGCATTCTTGGTAGACACGGATTATCTGGATCCGGCACAGTCTGGCTTTAGGCCGGGGCATGGTACCGAGACAGCTTTGGTCGCCTTAGTGGATGATCTGCGCCGGGAGCTCGACAGGGGGAGTGTGTCCCTGTTGGTGCTGCTGGACCTCTCAGCGGCCTTCGATACCGTCGACCACGGTATCCTTCTGGGACGCCTCGCGGGGATGGGTCTTGGAGGTACTGTTTTACAGTGGCTCCGCTCATTCCTGGAGGGTCGGTCTCAGAAGGTGTTACTGGGAGACTCCTGTTCAACCCCACAACCTTTGTCTTGTGGGGTTCCTCAGGGTTCAATACTGTCTCCCATGTTGTTTAACATCTACATGAAGCCGCTGGGTGAGATCATCCGGAGTTTCGGTGCGATGTCATCTGTACGCAGATGATGTCCAACTCTGTCACTCCTTTCCACCTGTCACTAAGGAGGCTGTCGAGGTCCTGAACCGGTGCTTGGCCGCTGTGACGGTCTGGATGAGGGCGAACAAATTGAAATTGAATCCAGACAAGACAGAGGTACTCCTGGTTAGTCGTAAGGCCGAACAGGGTATAGGGTTACAGCCTGTGTTGGATGGGGTCGCACTCCCCCTGAAGATGCAGGTTCGCAGTTTGGGTGTGATCCTGGACTCATCGCTGAGCCTGGAACCTCAGGTTTTGGCGGTGACCAGGGGAGCATTCGCACAGTTAAAACTCGTGCGCCAACTGTGCCCGTACCTTGGGAAGTCTGACTTGGCCACGGTAGTCCACGCTCTGGTTACATCCCGTTTAGACTACTGCAACGCTCTCTATGTGGGGTTGCCTTTGAAGACGGCTCGGAAGCTCCAACTAGTCCAACGCTCGGCAGAGCGCAGGGAGCATACAACTCCTCTGCTGCACCAGCTCCACTGGCTGCCGATTTGCTACCGGGCTCAATTCAAAGTGCTGGCGCTGGCCTATAAAGCCCTAAACGGTTCTGGCCCAAGTTACCTATCCGAACGTATCTCTGCCTATCAGCCCACCAGGACCCTAAGATCTTCTGGGGAGGCCCTGCTCTCTATCCCGCCTGCTTCACAGGTGCGGCTGGCGGGGACGAGAGACAGGGCCTTTTCTGTGGTGGCCCCTCGGCTGTGGAACGCCCTTCCCATGGAGGTAAGATCAGCCCCCTCGCTAATGGTGTTCCGAAGGAGATTAAAAACTTGGATGTTTGAACAGGCATTTGGTTAATCAGTGCAATGAATGTGACGATTACAGGAATGGAAATATGGACGACGAATTTGGATCACGACTCTAGTTATGAGATGCATTGTGTTGTTTATTGTTGTGTCAATACTGTATATTATCCTCTTATGGTTTTAAATTTATATCGTTGATTGATTTTTATCCTTGTTGTAAACCGCGTTGAGTCGCCTGTTGGGCTGAGAAACTGCGGTATACAAGTAAAGTAAATAAATAAATAAATAAAAGTGAGATCTGGGTATTCAGGGTTTGGAAAAAACATCTTTTACATTCCATTTCCTATCTCTTTATTTTTCCCCATCATGTACTTATGTACTTTATTCCTGGTTAATGCTCATTCTTCCCATCGCATGCCTATCTATTTCTTTTGGCAATATCCCAATGTAATCTCTTCTCCTCCTCCATTTTGTATTTTTTATTGTGTCAGAAGTGGCTTGGGAATATACTGCAAGTTGCTTCTGGTGTGAGAGAATTGGCTGTTTACAAGGACGTTGCCCAGATGTGTTCCCATCCTGTGGGAGGCTTCTCTCGTGTCCCCGCATGGGAAGCTGGGGCTGACAGATGGGAGCTCTCCCTGTCTCACAGATTAGAACCACCGACCTTTGGGTCTTCAGGACAGCAGTTCAGCTGTCACAAGGGTTTAATCCAGGGTTTCTCAACATAGGTGTCGGGACCCCTGGCGGGGGATTTTTAGGGGGTTTCAGAGGGGTTGCCAAAGACCATTAGAAAACATATATTTCTGATGGACTTAGGAACCCCTTTGTCAGAGAAGGCTGAAGATCTCTCTGCCTGTCCTTCTCTTCCTTTTTGGAAGAGAAGATGGCAAATCCTCTAACAAAAGCCCTCGCCCACTGTGGTTGGCTGGCTTCCCAGGCAAGGCAAGGGCTCTTTCTGAGACTCCAAGCACGTAAGGGAGAACAAGTGTGCTCGGCACATGGCAGCGTGGTGCACATGTATGGGTGAGAGAGAGCATGTGAGGCTGTAGGGAGGCTCATGCCAGTGAGTCCCTTCAAGGCAGGGGGGGTTTGTGTGGGAAGTTTGGCCCAATTCTACCGTTGGTGGGATTCAGAATGCTCTTTGATTGTAAGCAAACTATAAATCTCAGCAACTACAGCTTAGTGAAAATGAAGATAAACTTTTTACATTTATTACAACGGCTGCAAGAATTACTTTTGCGAAAGTGTGGAAACAGGAACAAATCCCTGATCTTGAAAATTGGTTGGATAAGTTGAGGGAAATAAGAGATATGGATGAGTTGACTTTTTTTACCAAGCAAGAACACTGGTAATATGTTAAAAAGGACAAATTGGGACCTCTTTCATGACTATGACAATATTAGTAGAGACAAAAGATAAATGAGAATTAAAATTTAAATGATTACAAGGATAAGAAGAGAAGAAACCATGAATATGGAATGGAAGTCAAGACTCATTTTTTCTATTTCTTCCTCTCTTTTCTCTTTCCTACTTTACTAAATTAATATTGTTCCACCTCTTTCGTTGTTCTTTCCTACCTTTGCTTATTTTCTGTGAACTGATTAATACCAATAAAAATTAATTATAAAAAAAATCCCAGCTACTACAACTCCCAAATACCAAGGTTTATTTTCCCCAAACTCTACCAATCTTCACATTTGGACTTATTGAGTTTTAATGACAACTTTGCTCGAAATCTATCATTGTTTGAGTCCACAGTACTCATTGGATGTAGGTGAACTACAACTCCAAAACTCAAGATCAACGGTCACCAAACCCTTCAACTATTTTCTATTGGTCATGGGAGTTCTGTGTGCCAAGTTTGCTTCAATTCCATTGTTGGTGGAGTCCAGAATGCTCTTTGATTGTAGGTGAACTCTAAATCCCAGCAATTATAATTCCCATATGACAAAATCAATCCCCACCCCCACCTCACCAGTATTCAAATTTGGGTGTATTGGGTATTTGTGCCAAATTTGGTCCAGTGAATGAAAATACGTTCTGCACATCAGATATTTACATCAAAATTCAAAACAGTCACTAAACGACAGTTGTGAAGTAGCAACAAAAATAAGGTATGGCTCGGGGTCACCACAACATGAGGAACTGTATTAAGGGGTCGCAGTATTAGGAAGGTTGAGAAACACTGGTTTAATCCATTATAATGTGGAAAGCCACTGTTCTCATCACATTAGGTTGGCTTCAAGTTCAGGGTAGAACATTCAGTTGTATAGGGAGAAACCCCAAATGGCAAGGGGGTCATTATTTTGTACATCTAAATAGCACTGTTACATAATAAATCCTGGTGAAATTCAGTAGATGGAGTGTAGAATGATGCCCTTGAAATGTCATGGGATTTCTATCTAGTTTGGGGAGGCATCAAACAAACTTCTCAAGGTATGCAAATCCTACATAGGTATTTAAAGTACTTCCTTTTCTGTTGAGTTGCTATTTGCATTGTAAAAAGAGAGAATTTGAAAAACAGACAACTTTATTAGCTCTAGGAATGACTTCCTGATGAGAAGAGTTTTGCAAAATGCACAAAGCAAAGAATGGTTTCCATATTTTGGCCAAAGCAGAGGAGAGTTTGGTTTGCGGATGCACCCAATGCGGGTGAATTTAAACTGCAGTAACAATGTTGTTTGACAGCAGATAAGAGATCGGACATCAACATTGCAAAGGGAGAGGAGCATCGGGTGACCAGAGATGGTGATTTTGTCTTCAGAAATTGACCTTGGTCATGAGAAACAGAACTCAGGCAAGGCCCCACCACTCAACCTTTTGGTATGGAAGCTTGATCCAAATCCTGTTAATTCCCCCAAGAGTAAACTCTTTGAGCCAATTTTGGAATCATGGGTTGTCACTAGAGGAGAATTCTATTGATTCAAGGACTCTTAAGAGCTGGGAAGGTGATTTATTCATTACACCAGTGTTTCTCAACCTTCCCAAATGCCACAACCCTTTAAGACAGTTCCTCATGTTGTGGTGACCCCCAACCATACAATTTCTTTCATTACTACTCCATAACTGTAATTACATTACTGTTATGAATCATAAAGTAAATATCTGATATGCAGAATGTATTTTCATTCACTGGACCAAATTTGGCACAAATACTCAATACGCCCAAATTTGAATACTGGTGGGGTTGTTGGGGGTTATTTTGTCATTTGGGAGTTGTAGTTGGTGGGATTTCCAGTTAACCTACAATCGAGGAGCATTCAGGACTCCACCAAAGATGGAATCAGGAAGATTGAGAAACATTGGTTTAATCCATTGCGCCACTGGGGGCTCCTATAAATAGCTAATAAACTACAATTCCTTTGGAAATTATTATTTCAAAGCTGTTATATCATAGGGTTCATCTTCACTCTGGAGCTTGACCCCACTTGTCTCAATAGGGCGGAGTTCTAGTCTTGAGCCTTCTCTGACCAAGACTGCTGGTGCCTCTCCAAATCACAAATCACAGGATTCTATAGCAGGTAAAGTGGGTGTCAAACTGCATTAATTTTGCAGTGTAGATGCATGCTGGAATGACTACAAAATAAAACAAGAAAACCAAGGTGCATGGAAATTCTCGAAAAAGAAGAACCAATGTATTTTATTGCTGCTGAAAAATATAGAGAGACTGAACAATATAGAGAGACTTTGCAACTGATGTAAAAGGTTACAAGTGCAACAAAAACATATGACCTGCCC